AGAAACATCAATGGGAGAGAAACATCGATCAGCTGCCTCCTGCACACACACCCGCCCCCCACCGGGGATGTGCCCGCAACCAAGGTACATGCCCTTGACCTGAATCGAACCCGGGACCCCTCAGTCCACAGGCTGACACTCTATCCACTGAGCCAAACCGGTCAGGGCTCGGTGTCTCTTGTTTGTGGATTCTGTGTCCCCACTAGACGCAACCTTGTTTAGTTGACCAGAGCGTAGAACAGTGCCTGGCACCCGGTAAAGGCCTCGGTAGATCCCTATTGAAGGAGTGGTCAGAGCTCCATTCCATGGAGGGGCAGCTGAGACTTGGCCTATGTAACCAGAGAAGTCAGGGCCCAGTGGGGACTGGGAGCCAGGGCTGTCTGGGCCCTGAAGTCCTTGCCCCAAGTCCCTGGAGAAGCAGGGGGGATGGGATTCTGAGCACAGGTGCAGGGAGTACCCTCCCAGGGAACAAGGGGACAAGGAGACCAGGGGAGGAGGGAGCCGAGGCAGGAGGGCCTTGGACTCCCACTCCCCTGAGCGCATGGTGGGCCATGGCCCTGGCTTCTCTTTTCTTTGAGGAGCAGGTGGAAGGTCTTTCTGAGAGAGGATAGCTGGTCCAGGAGTCTGCAGCACCTCTCCATGTGCCCCCAGGGCACTGATGTCATTTCAGCCACTTGCCCAGCTCCCCCTGGTCTCCCTGCCCCAGCCTGGTCGGCCAGGGCTGGGTGACGACCCCCAAGGACAAGATCTGATGGGCCTGGGGATCCAGCCCTGGGAGGAGGGCAGCTGGGCCTCCTGCCTCTCAGGCCCTTGCAAACGCCCAGCTCCTCTTCTAAGCCAGCTGGGCCGCAGGGAGGGGCTAGAACTGCGCCAGGCCCACCCAGGGGTGCTGCTGGCCCCTTCCCCACCCTAGTTTGATCTGCTCCCTCATGACATCAGTTTCATGTTCTTTTTGTTCTCAATTAATTTTGTCTTTGTCTCCCAGTGGGAAATGAATGCATGCTCATTATAGAAAATGTGAGCAAACAGAGATTAGAAGAAGAGATAATACGTGAGAAATTGCTATTCTAATGCGGTATCACTGTGGCTCCTCCTGGCCAGGCCCAGGCTGGGCAGGGGGCACGGGCCCTCTGCCTGGCGTGGCCAGCAGGCCATCGGGCACTGGTCTCCATGGGACGCCCCGTGGGTTTCAGGAGGAGCTGTGGGGCCACAGGCGTGTCTGAGTGCCGCGGGAGCGGACCTGGTGAGAGTGGCTGTTTAACTTGGGCGTCTGTGTCACAGTGGCCACAGGGCAGGTCTGCCCAGGCAGGGCACGGGGCTGGGGGCAGCTCTGAGAGACGCTTTGAGAGAATTACTTTCCATAAGAGAGGCACTGCGGAGGGGAAGGGAGAGAGCGTAACAGAAAGTGAGGTTGTAAGTAGCAACGGCTTCTGGGATCTCACCGGCTTCGTCATGGGGCCCTCCCTGGCTGCCGGGAAATCAGTTGATCTGGGAAAGTTCGTTGGGTGCAAACCTTTTGCTCTGCTGCTTTTGGGTGGAGCCAAGAAAAGAACGAAGATAATGAGACTGTATGACTTTTCTTTTTCAGAGTAGGAGTGGGCCTAGTGTGTGGGCGGGTGATCGTGGATACAGCCACCGGTTCTGACACTGGCTCGGCCCTCCAGGAAGGCCAACTGGCCAGCGTGTCCCACGCCAGGGCACCCCCCCCCC